AAGCCTCCTCACCCGTGCCTGGCACAGAGCGGATGTCTGTGGGTAGTCATCAGTGGTACGGAAGTCACAGATGGCTGGTTGATCCTTTCAGCTGAAGCCTCAGACTGCAGATGCTAACGCAGCCTCCCGTGTGAAAACCCCACATGCTGAACCCTGCGCCAGGGACCTGGGGCTTTCCTAGTGTGCCAGTCAGTCCCTAAGGAAGGGGAAATCCCAGTACAACCCGACCAGGAAGCCAGGGCAGCAAACTGTTCCAGGATTAAGCAAACCTCTTAGCAGTCTCCTCCTTGAGGGGACTTTAGACTGTGGGCGCTCCTTTCTTCCCTGAGGCTGGCTTCCCCTTTCCGGTCAGCTGTTCGTTACAGGAGACAGTGCTTTCTCCTGACAGTCAGCTCTTGTCACTCAGACATAACCAGGCGTCAGTGTAGCTTGAGGCTGCTCTTGGCTGGGGTCCTCACAAAAAGCCAGCAAGCAGCACAAGCTTCTGTGCAATAACTCCACTAAAACACTGACATCATGATCGCTAACGTCCTTCTGAAGAAATAAACACAAAAGGGAGGCCCTGCAGTGTAGGTCAGTTGCTGGCTTATTCATTTATTAGACTTATTATTAGTTCAGAGTGCCAAAGCACTCAACAGCCCCAGCCTGACGGGGGCAGCGGGAAGAACAGGTTCTTGGAGGTCCTGGGGGATGGAAACAGGTGAGTAGACGGGAGTCTGTGATAAGGCCCACGCTTGGCTTGTACGACTCACATCTCACAATGAGCCTGGCAGATGGTCAGCGTAAGTAACTTGCTCAAGTCAGCAGGCACTAGCTGGTTATTCCTGGACAGGCCCAGGATCAAGGGCTCCTGTGCTCCCCTCCTCCTAGCCCTCCATTTGTCATTTCAGCTTTGTTGGCTCCATCCTTCCTCACCACTGACAAGTGTTTTCCACATGGTGAGCTGTGGTTGAGGGACAGGAACTGGGTGCAACCTACAAGCTGGGGACCATACACTGGAACACCTGCTGGAGTTTGACTTGTGGGTCCACCAGAACCCCCCAAACTGAAGAAAGGTGAGGTGCTCAAAGACAAGACTTTGGGACACTGCTATCAGGAAAAGCAGGAGAGCCACAGGGCGGAGGCAGAACTGGGGACTAAGTAGTACCACTGTCCTGAATCCAGGCACAGTGGGGTCCTGCTGGCTCTATAGAGGTCAGGGCCAGAAGGCAGTGCCTGGTGTCCACTCAGAACACTGTCCTAACCTCACAGCCCTGCAGGTGCCCAGACCAAGAGCCACCGCCTGCTCCCTCCCTGACAACCTAACAGAGCTCTTTGGCACTGTTCTCTCCATTGCTCTGTCCTTCAAGGAAGCCATGAGACACTGTCACTCTGGTGATGGCAGAACAGCTGCTCCAGGGTGTCTGCGAAATGAAGAACTTGACAAGCTGAACTAAAGCCCAAGGTCAAGGTCCTGGGAATGAATGTCTTCCTGTGGTGTGCTCAGTGCTGACTAGCTGCCTGCTCTCCAGCACCCTGGGATTTCGCAGAGGAGCCAAGCCAACGGAGAGTTGGACTGTTAGTTGTGTGGCTGCAGAGCTGTCACCTTTATCACTACCTGTAGTTCTCCCCTCCCTCTCTAGCTGCAGTACACCACAAATACTTTGTTGTCTTTTGGGGGCGTTTTTTCTTAAACACTGAAACTAGTAAGGTACAACATAAATTTACCCTCAGCCATTTTTAGATGTGCAGTTCAGTAACGTTAGGCATCCGTCCTGTGCCGCCAAACTCCAGGGCGTCTCCACCCACAGAACAGACTGACCCCACCGAACAACTGGCCTCCTATCCCTCCCAAGCCCCTGCCACCGTGCATGTGAACCTGGCTGTCCTGAACACCTCAAATCAAAATCATTTCTGTGACTGGCTCATTTCCTGTAGCATAGTGTCCTGTCCTCAAGATTCAGCCACGCGCGGCACGTACCTCAGTCACCTTCCTTGGCCGGTATTTCACCGAGTGTGTACGCCACATTTTATTAGTTCACATTGACACATTCGGATTGGATCCACCTGGCTGTTATGGACAATGCTGGGACGAGGGTGAGCACCTCGGAGACCCCAAGCTCAGTGTTTTGGGTTGAACACCCAGAAGGAGCCATGGAGTCATCACTTCATCTTTTGAGAGAAGGAATGTCCGTTATTTTCCAAGCATATAGGCTATTTTACAGTTCCACGAAAAGTGCACAAATGTCCCAGTCTCTCCACAGCCTCAGTAAATGGATCTTTTTTAATTTCTGTTATTCTCAATATTTTCTTCTGGAGTAGCCAAGTTTTGTTTTTTTGGTGGCACTGGGCTTTGAACTCAGGGCCTCATGCTTGCAAGGCAGGTGCTCTCCACTCCGCCAGCCCTCCACATCCTCAGCAACACTAGTTTCCTTTTGAAAACCACTGAGCCACACCCCAGTCTACTTTTTTTTGTCTTGACAGTACTGGGGTTTGAACTCAGGACTTCGAGTTGTGTGGCAGGCACTCTATCCCGTAGTCCATGCTGCCAGTTGTTTTTTAATAGGGCCCATCCTAAGATGGCATCTCACCATGGGGTTGTTGGGGTTTTTTGGGGGGGGGTAACAGGTGGCTGTGCTGGGGATGGACCCCAGGGCCTCCCACTGGCTAGTGTGGACTCCACCCTCACGGTTGATTTGCATACCCTAATGGTCAGCAGTCCTGAGCATTTCTACATGTGCGCTTTTTTGTTGAAGAATTAGCTACTCAAGTCATTTGCTCACATTCTTCAGGCTGTTGTCTGTTGTGGAGCTGTAGGCATTCTTTCTGTATTGTGGGTACTAGTCCCTCATCAGACAGGGTGTGTAAATATACCCTCCCGGGGGATTTTTCACCGTTTGATGCCCAGGAAGCTTGTATTTTGATTTAGTCCAGTTCACTTTCACCACCTGGGCTTTGTGTCCTACTCAAGAACCCACTGTCCAGTGCTGTGACTTTCCCCCTCTGCTTTCTTTTTATTTATTTCATTCCCTTCAGGAGCTTTTGCTTTTGCCTTGCAATCTTCTGTTGAGATTTGAGCATTTGGACACACAGCCTCCTCTCACAGTCTTCTCCATGGACTGGCTTAGCGTAGGGAAGACCCTCACTCATCAGCCCGGCTAAAGGCTATGGGTCACTCAAACCGTTTCTGGTGCTGCATTTTTCCCGGGACTTTGTTTCCTTGCACTATAATTTTCACCTACTTCCCTCTGCCTGCAACCATGTGCTCCACCCCAGTGCCAACCTGTGCTCTAGCGCACCAATGCACCCACTCGGCTTTGCAGACTGCCCTTGTGTCCAGCGCCAATGCTGCCACCAATGCCAAGCCAGCGTTCCCAGGTGAGGGCCACATACAGCCTCGGGAAGGGGAAGAGAAAGGGGCAAAGGCGAGCGGGCGTCCACGCACATGCTGAGTACGGATCGTTCCTGTTCACACGTTCACCGCCACTGCTTCATAACTGGTTCTTGAAGTTCTCACAAAGCCGTTTTGGTCTGGAATATGTTTACTCCATTTGAATGGTGGAAAATAAGAGCCTGGAGTGCCCTCTCTGTTCGCCTGACATCGCCTGTCATAGGGCTTCTTTAAAATGTAATGTCATTTTGTCTTACAACATTACTACCACGTGTAGTAAACTAAAGAGAATGAAATCCAATTACACAGAATGACGTAAATTGAAAATTGTCTCCTTATCTGCTTCCTAAAGACCCCTACGGCCAGTTGGGGTCTGAATTATTCTGAGGGTCACCACCTCAACTCTATAAATGCAGGTTTATTTCCACCTCTTGATTCACCAACCTTGAATTGCACAAATGGTTTTATATACCAAAGGGGAAGCTTCTGATGGACCTGACAGTCCTTCCAGTTTTGTTTTTACATCTGAATTCACCACTTAACCTTAAATGGTATCTTTAACAAACACACATGTACAGAAATGACTCACACTAGGCCAGGAACTGGTAGTTCATTCCTATAATCCTGGTTTCTTGGGAGGCTGTGATTAGGGGGATTGTGGTTCGAGGCCAGCATAGGCAAATATTTTTTGAGACTCCCAGCTCCCAAACAACCAGAGCAAAATGGACTGGAAGCATGGCTCAAGTGGTAAAGGGCCTGCTTTGGAAGCATATGAAGCCCTGAGTTTAAACCCCAGTCACACCAAAAAAAAAAAAAAATCTCTCCATCATCTCTTCCCCACACGATCTTTTGCATTTTAAGCTTTTCAAAGTTTACACTTTGGGGCTGGGTGTGTGCCTCAGGTGTGGTAGAGCACCTGCCTTGCAAGTGTGAAGTCCTGAGCTCTTCCCCATACTGCTTTGCCTTGTAATGCCTTTCACACGTTCACTGAAAAGCGCCTCAATGCTGCGCACACACTTCGCGCACACTTTTTACAACAAAGGGGTGCCGGAGCTGTCGTTTCTTTTTTTGGTGCTGGGGTTGCACTCTGGGCCTCATGCTTGCTAGACGTGTGTTTACCACTTGAGCCATGCCCCTGGCCCTTTTTGTGTTGGTTGAAGTAGGATCTCCCTTTATGTCCTGAGCCAGCTGGAACCACAATACTCCCATTTGTGTTCCCCACATCACTGGGGATGACAGGCATGTGCCACCATACCTGTCATTAGATGGGATGAGGTTTCACAAACTTTCTGCCTGGACTGGCCTTGAACTGACATTCTCCAGATCTCCACCCCTCAAATACCTAGGATTACAGGCTTCAGCCACTGTGACCAACCTCATCTTTGGTTTTTTGAGACAGGGTCTCACTATACAATTTCCCTGACTCGGCCTCCTGAGAGCTGGGATTATAGGCATTTACTACCATGCCCAGCTTTTAAATCCTCTTTTAAAGCAAAAAGTGTGAACTGTTTTTGCATAAAAGATCATCACTGAAAATGTAAGAATGCCACCTATGTGAATTCTGGTAAACAATTTTTGAAAGAAAAGAAAAAATGCATTGAAAAAAGGATAAACCAAACCAGGACTGAAAGAAAACATTTATTGAATCAAAATCAATTCTTTTTAATATCTACAAGCCAACACTGAACTCACTTTATTCAAGAATGAACACAATGTACAAAAAAGTATGCTTATAATAATTATAAAAATATGTCAATTCTATCTTCTGGATGCTGCACAGAAGTCATTTGAAACAAAATCAAGGCAAACTTGTTCTCTATGATGGAACAGCTGTAATCCAGCAACAGTGAACGCTCGTGTACTCGGAGTGTTTCTCGAGGTGCGCTGATCAGGCCTCACACGCACTGTGGGGTCCAGCTCACACAGCCAGCATCCCCACTCTGTGCCTCCAGCCACTCCGTGCTGCACCGTGGGAAAGTACCTCTTTTACAGAATGCAAATCTTAACAGAACCTGTGTGAGTAAATCTTCATTCTGTGTCTTGCTTACCAGTTGTTACACATGTTTAGAATGGGTTCTGATATGAAAATCTTATTAGCTTTAATTTAAAAATAAGATAGGTTGGTAGGGAGCTTACAGTTCCATATCTGAAGGTGGAAAGTCTGCCTCCCTCCACACCGCCGACACCCCAGGGCCTGCACAATAGGCTCCCGTCCAAGGTTAGCCTTTGTGTTTTTCTTCGATCTTGATTCTCCAGGGCCCTTCCCAGGTGCTACTGGCCTGTGCTCGTGTGCAGTGTCAGTGCTGTGCTGTGACATTAGTGGCAGCAGCAGAACAGTGAGAGGCTGAAGACCTCTCACTTACCATGACAGGTTCCAAGACACGCTGCTCTTGGAGCACCAAAAATGACAGCGACTGGAACAAGAATAAAATTCCAAGTTGGGAAAAGGGACAATCGTTCCCTATACTGCTGTTCTGGGAATTATAGGACAATAAAAGTGTACTAATTTTAAAAGTCAAAACGCATCAGAGCAGATAATGCCAAGAAAATCCAGTCCATCTTAAAGCGTGTGCAGACATCAGTGTTCCTGGCAGGAAACTGACCCCAGCAGAACAGAGTGACAGTGGTTCTCAGGCAGATTCCAGAATGCAGTGTCCACAGGTGAATCAAAGACAACAGATGAATTAAACCTTACAAGTTATTAAAATGCAGAATGTTTTCCCTTGAAACACTCTCCCTGTGTTTGTGATCAACACCTATGAAGGCTCAAAACTGTGAAATACAAGCACTGAATCAGCTGGTGCCTATCTGCTGGAGAGTATTGCTTCTGTTTTTACCTCGGTAAACCTAGCATTTCTTGCTGCCTATTTCACAAGAAAGGGACAAAGTGAGGGACAAGAGGCGAATGAGACAACAGGGAAAGGACTGCTGTCCCCTCCACTCTGACCTCAACCCTCTTAACGTTTTCCACTGAGTCCCATGTGTCACTCCTATCCAAGCCAGTCCTAGGCCTGAACTGCACATCAGGTTTCAACAAAAAACTTATGAAAGATGCAACCGTTTTGAACCTGCGCAAAGGTTTCTTACCAACACCCTAAAGTGTCAGTGCACAGGTTGTTCTCACTGGCAGTGATTCACCAGGTCACTGTGTTGCTCTTGGCAACTTCCATGGCCTTCAAATATGTTGAATCCAGAAGCCCAGTGACTGCCGGTTGCAGTGAGATGCTGAGGACAGAAGTTCAACACACTGCTGGCAGGAACAACTGGATACCAAAATATTAAACATGAAACAAAGATAAAAGTGACAAGTTCACAAAGAACGGAGACGCTCAGAACAAGGCTGCATGAGCATTTCCGGCCCCACTCAGATGCACAGTCACCTGAGTCACAATCACAGGCCCTTGCTCTCTAAATAAATACACTCAACGTGGGCAACCAAATGACAGCCTCAGGAAACAAGCTTTTCTCTTACTTCAGTTCTACTCAAATAGACCGAAAGCCATACTTCCGACATGAGCTACACAGTCGTCTTTTTCTGTGAAACTCATGTGACTCAGTGCCACAGCTAAATTTCCTCAATTGCAGCAGGTCCTCTCGGCCCAGGGCAGCACAGAGCTGCCTGGCTTTAGCACCACCTGGGTTCCCATCAGAGCAACTCCATGTAACACAGAGGTCTATCCGGCCCAAGCTCCAAACAAAGGCAATGATCGTTGTGCTTGTGGGTCTCATACCTTCCAAAATATACACAAAGGTGATAAGTTAGCAAATAACAGCAGGTTCTTGCTTACCAGTAAAATCATAAGGCAGAGGGTTGGAGGCAGAAAGAAAACGTTTAAAATGGAAAAATCGCAAAATGGTGCTAGCATTCGCAAAACAGATCATGCTAAGATAAGATCCATGTTGATTAAACATCGAAAGTTCAGCTACAATCCAAAGAACTCTGTCCAGAGTCCAAAGGCATGCACGCCAGTTGAAGGAAATGCAGGGTCGCCTGGCGGTATCGTCTTCAGAGCAGAACAGTAATGTCTCACTGGAGAATCACGGGTGGGTGAACAGGCTGCCGTCACACTTCTTTTTTATAATTAAAAATAAAAGAAATGCAATCACAAGACAAAAAATTATAGAACAGTGGACAGAAATAATAGATTCATAATGACCTATAAAACCAAAAGAAAAATTCAAATTATTTTTAGACTTTCAGAGCTCATCCTCATTAAAAGTAGTCTTTCTCTTTTCATTTGAAATGCTTATAATGGAAGATTTGTAAATAATAAAGTGCTAGCTACAAAATTATTCCACTACTGGTGAGGTTATCATGGTACCTACAGTATCAACACTTAAAACGATCATTTCACTCCTGTTAAAAGCAGCATCTTGTCACCAGAAACCCTAGGCAAAAACCTCCTTCCACCCAGACATCTTAAATATATAAAGCTGTTTACAGGAAAACTACCCCAAATTTACATTTAACACGCAGTCACTGCCTATGTCTGATCCTTTAAACACTTGGCCAAAAAATTTTTTTGGTTTTCCCAGTAAGTTCATAATTAATAAAAGTAAGAGAATGAAATGCACTTTTAAACCTCAAGGCTTCACTGCTGCATTTGAGGGCTGGCCCCGGCCTGAGTACTCACAGGAGCAGGGCAGGAGCCAGGGCTATCCGGCCTTCGTGTCCACCAGCTGCATCTGTGCGGTGGCAGCCATCCCACCTCCATAGCCACCTTTGGACTGCATCTGGTTCTGAATGGAGCTAACCTAATAACAAGCCCGAACAGAACAGAAGCAGTCAGGAACTAGGTCCAGGGCAACCAAACTATTCTTTTCCCAGCATTTTAGCTGGACTTTCTTCAGAAGAGCACTTTTACAGAAGAATAAATAAATAAATAAATGTATATATTAATTATATAATATTGATGGTATTAATTATAGATTTTTATGGACTTAAATTTTTTCTGGTTATAAGGGCTAGCTACTTGACAGCCTTTTTTCCAATGACTCCTCCCCTTCCTTTCTCTACTTCCCAGTTAAAGAACAGTCAGTTTTGTAATGCACAGAGCCCTCAACAACATCACAAAGACTGGGGAAACACACAAGTCAAGTCAACTTTCTGTTCTCAATCTCAAGAATCTTAACTTGCAGACACCCCATCTGCTACCTCAGTCACTCAGGCTCCAAAGAAAGAAAATAAGCATGCATGAAACTGGCCAACAGAGAGAGAAACCAGAGATCTGTCAGTCATAATACAACCTGATAAAGGGGGAAAAATTGTCTAAAAACCCAAAGACCGATTGTAGTTATATTTACTTTTTTTTTTTTTTTTTGAGGTAATGGGGTTTGAACTCAAGGCCTCATGCTTGCTAGGCAGGCTGTCTTACAGCTTGAGCTACAACACCAGCCCATTTTTGTGTTGGGTATTTTCAAGATAAGTCTTAAGAACTGTTTGCCTGGGTTGGCCTCTAACCACGATCCTCCTGATCTCTGCCTCCTCAGTAGCTAGGATTACAGGCGCCACTGGCACTTGGCTGCAAGTTTACTTATTAATCCTGTAAGTGGGTAAAGTATCCATCCTCTCAAAATATCAGGTGCAAAGCTCATCTAAGCACATCACTCAGCTACTTTGTGATATGTGTGAGATTCGTACATACACCACACATGAACGTGAGACACAGGAGTGGGGTAGGCTCTGGCTTTGTTGAAACAAATGCGCATACAATGCAAAGCACAGCATGAGAGTGCTTTTTGCATTGGTGATCCTGAGTCAAATTATTATATTTAAAGAAAGTAGCAAGACTTGTCAAAGTTACTTTTGGAATAAAACACTTAAAATGTGCTAATAGAAAAGAATAATAATACACAAAATGCACTGCTTATTTAGACCCACAAAGGTTTCAGTGCAGAACTGGCTCTTGAATGAGCACACTGACTGCTCTGATAGTTTTACTTACGCAGGGCAAAGCTGCTCTGGTGACATCACACAAACTCAGTGTAGCACCTAAACTCATGTTAACCAAACGAGGACTTTTAGTCAGAGTACAGGAAAAACTAAAATCTACAGGGCAATTTTTAAGGTCTCTAGGCAAGCCTGCTCGACCAAGACAGATGCCCTGCTGTGCTGTGACATTTACTTAATTCATCACCTGCGCCTCTGCAGTAGTGGCATCATGGCAATGTGACATGAACTTGATTTTAGCTGCTTTTACCAAATAATCTGCCACCCAGCACATGTTAGCATCTGTGGCTACGTTAAACCTATCCAAAAACAGTAAGACAATGCTGTACAGATTCTAAGAAGGAAAAAGGTCCTCAGATAGCCAGATGTGCAGTGCCAAACTGAGGCCTGGGTTCTCTAGTCAGTAACCCTTCAATGTCACTGGATTTTGTGCCTGTGAATGCACAACGTATAAACAACAGGGTTGCATTATTGAAAGGGTCACACACATCATTCCTGGCAAGAAGTTATAAGGCAGCTCTGGGAAAAGCTGGGTATTTCGAAAGGGTGAAATGAGAAGTCATTTAAGCGTTCAGCAGTACAGGTCAGGCAAGGCCGCGCTCACCGTGCAGCTGCTTAGTGCTCAGAAGGCAGCCTTCGCTGGAAATACGTCAGCATAACAGCACCTCCACCTAGGTTTTGTCTCACCCTCACTGTCACAGCACAGAGAATGCCAGTGAGCGCACAGCAGTGACACCTGCAGACTCTGGTGTGAGTGACTTCCCTCACAGCAAGAACCTGGAGCTCTGGAGACAAAGACTCACCAGGAAGTGACTACACAGAGCCTTTGGTTCTAAAGAACTGAAACACATTTTCTAAGGTCCCAGAGAAGCTTCTGCATGCAGGGCAGAGCATGCTGAGGCCCCGTGACCCTGCATCTGAGGTGAAGAGGCCACGGAAGGCACAGTCCCTAGGCTCCACCTCAGCTTATGGCAAGCAAAAGAGTTAACTCCACATTCCATTGAGACAAAATGCCAGAAGGAATCTTATAGAAAATTTGGAACTGTGCATGAACAAGATTTAAAAGCTTAACAAATACTATGAACTAAAAGATAATTTTTCCTATATAGTTGGGTTTTTTAAAAATCTTAAATCTTAAGTGGTAGGCGGGTATGGGGGCACATACTTGTGATCCCAGCTACACCAGAGGCTGAGGCAAGAAGACGGTGAATTCAAGGACATCCTGGGCTACACTCTGAAGTGGTAAAGATGACATTTGATTCTATCCCTAATAATCATATTAATTACTTAATAAAAGGAACATCTTTGGTCTTTCTTGCCATGTTGATCCAGACTAAGCTACTGACCGTCTTTTGATAGCCACATGACACCCTTCCACTTCCACAAACAGAGTCAAGTGAAGCAAAGTGCTTTCCCTGCAGATTTAAAACAAACAGACCATTTCCTTTCCAGGAAGCTACAAATGGCATTCCTTTGCTTACCTAGTAACAGAGAGGTAGCTTGGGTTTGCTGTGTCCAAGATACCATCCACCTACTTGAGAAGACCCTGCTCTCTGGCTAAGTAATTTGTTAATGTCAGTAAGCCCCAATACAACGGGTGATAATTTTGAGCAGTTAGGATCACCTGGACACCCATTTACTTTAGGTGTAGGGGCAAAAGAGGCCTCAGATTCACTGAGTCTCTTTGTTGAAGAGACTGTTAAGAGCCTTTACTTGACTCTGCTTCTCATTCTTTTTTTGTTTGTTTGTTTTTTTGGGGGGGGGCTGGCTTAACTGGAGTTTGAACTCAAGCTTTGTGCTTGCTAGGCAAGTGCTCTGCCACTTGAGCCATGCCTCCAGCCCTTTAGGGCATTCATTATTTTTTTGGCTAGGGCTCACATTTTTGTCCATGGAAGGCTTCAAATGGTGATCCTCCTACCTAAGCCTCCTCCACTGCTGGGATTGGAGTAGTATGCCACCATACCCAGCTTGTTTGCTGAGATAAGGCTTTGCTAAACTTTTGCCTGAGCTGGCCTTGAACTCTGCCTCGAACATTGGTCCTCCTGATCTCTACCTCTTGATAGCTGGGACCACAGGCATGAGCCACCTCAATGGGTCCTGGTTCTCTCGACATGAAAATGAAAGAATATAAGCCAACCTCACAAAGACAAATAATTGCATGCTTTTGCTCATTGTGGAATCTAGACTTTAAAAAAAATTGACATGATTATAAAAGGGGGAGTCCTTAGGGAGGGGACAGTGAGATTAAGAGGAGGGAAAAGGAGAGAGTGATGGGTGTGGATATGAAAATAGCATAAGGAAATCCATTAAAAACTGTCAAAAGGGGAAAAGGGGACTTAGTAATATACATGGGGTGAACCTGATAAAAGTACATTATATAAGTGTGTTAATATCACAATGAAGCCCCCCTTGAAAGTTAATTTAGCTAATAAAGACTTAAAAGACTGAAAGAAAGAGTTCAGCTGTGTGAAACTAAAGTCTATTCAGAAGTGTACTAAAACCTCTAGGAAAAGGTTCTCATTCCTTATGTCCTCTGCTTTGCCCTAAAGGGGTAGGTGCAACCCCTAATCCTCTGCTTCTGCTGAACTTACGTTAGCATCAATAAACAAATCACAAACAATTTAACATCAACAGATAAAAGGCTGACATTTTATAAAGTAAATGCAATAAAAATGTTTGCAAAACGCAAGTAACTGAACTTAAAAGAACAAAGAGACTGAATATCATTAAAAGAGTGATCTGCAGTGGGTGCTGGTGGCTCACGACTATAATCTTAGCTACGGAGGAGGCAGAGATCAGGAGGATCTCGGTTTGAAGCCAGCCTGGGCAAATAGTTCTCAAGACCCTATCTCAAAAATACTCAATGAGAAAAAGGGCTGGCAGAATGGCTCAAATGGCAGAGCACCTGCCTAGCAAGACTGAGAACGTGAGCTCAAACCCCAATATAACCACCAAAAAAAAAAAAAAAAAAAAAACACTGATCCCTCTGATGGCAATGTAAGAATCAATGGGATATTAACCTCTATTATGAATCTCAATCCTTCAAAGTGTTAAAGTACTTATTCAAGAGGAAGGAAGGCAGCCATGAAGACTTCACAAAAAACAAATCTGTAACTTGGCAAATCAGAAGAGATTAACTGGGGGGAGAAATGGCCCAAACAATGTATACACATATGAGTAAATTAAAAATAAAAAAAAGAGAGATTAATCCTTTCTTCTCCTGTATGCTCACAGTATGCACAGTCGCCCCTCGGAATCCAGAACCCCTGTGGACACCCACAGCCCGGTGCTGGGGCCCCTTATGTATGTAAGTGGTGTGGCTTGCAAACAACCTGTGCATGTTCTCCCCTGCTCTAACTCATTGCTAGACTACTCACCGTACTTAGTACAACATAAATACCATTAAAGAGTGGTCATACTCTATTGTTTAGGGAATGATGACAAGAAAAGGTCTGTACATATTCAGTAAAGATGCAACTGTTTTCCAATATTTTCCATCTGTGATTGGCTGAACCCAGCAGCTGAGCCAACAGCTGTAAGGGGACCAGCTATATTTACATTGTGTCTACAAGTTCATTCGTCATTATGTGACTCAAAGGGTACAGACAAGGTGTCACGTGACTATGCCAAGGCCCTGCGTGCACATCCACCAACATACTTACGGAATTCATCCCACTGAACAGGTCTCCTGATCCCACATGAGCCGTGTGGACAAAGTTTGTTGGCTCTCCAATCATACTTCGGTCAATACGTCGTCGCCTTTTCTAAAATCAGAGAATGGTGTGCTTAGAAAATGATCTCACTAACAAAGAAGCTTATTCTGGTAGATTCCTATAAATGGGTAAGTCAGTGACTTTGATTAACAGTCAATAAACTTACCCAGGACACAAAGATGCTTCACTGAGATCATCACAATTACCTCTTCTAAAACCCACACGCGCACACACACACACCACACACACAAATGACTAGAAAAGGAGAATAACAGGTTATGTAGGGCTAAGTGGATGATTTGGCCGAGCTCTGACCATCACATGTGTGCACAATAACCATGAGCTTTTCCTCCCTCGGGCAGTGACAGGCTAATGCCATCAACAAGCAGCAAAGTCCTGTTTCCACCAATACACTCATCCACTGCCTCACAAGATACATTTCTTTACCCTGCTGCTATGTTTCACTAATCATCTGAGATTTCTCCAGAAACAAAGCTTATTTTAGATCACTCCCAAGTTTTCCTTGACCCCTAGGTTCTGGCAATGGTGACCCCTCTCTATCTGAACACAGGTTTTCTGTATCTTTGAACCAAGTTTTCTTCTACTATTTCTTTGATTTTTGCTCCATGTGTTCCTTCATGCTATTTCTAGAGCTCCTGCTACAGGGATCTCTGAGTGTCTGTGCATGTGTCTAAGCAAAATCATTCACATTTCTTAAGTGTTTAGACATTGTTTTAAATTTCTCTTAATGCTTTTTTTTGTACTGGAAAGTAACACAACTTGGTCCCTCCCCTTCATGAGTCCACAGACTTTTTCTTAAAGGCTGAAGGGTAAACACTTTAAGCTTGCAGGCCTAGCTTTCACTCGCCTCTGCCTTTGTAGGAGTGCAGCTGTGCTCCTGCACCATCTCGCGTGGGACAGGGTGGCAGGCCACGTGTGGCTTACAAGTAGCAGTTTTACTGACCTCAGCTCTAGGTCAATTTTTTTCAATAGCAGCAACTATTTTTTGTTGTTATTTTCCAAGAGGTCTTTAAATCTGTGAGGGTTTGTTGTACAAGTTTTCATTTTCTTCCTGTATGAATTATGATAACAATAGGTAGCAAAAAACTCTCATTTCTTTACTTTTCCAAATTAGTTACTTCAAGCCCTCATAAGGACTGGTGATTTGTAAGAAATTCAGTCTGTCTTTTAGGACCCTGTTCCTCAGAGCCATATAAAAGTTTCAGGTTAAAAAGCTATCAGAAAGCTCAGAGAGGACTGGCAGTAGAGTGTCTGCTTTGCAAGCATGAGGCCTTAAGTTCAAACCCCAATAGCACAGGGGGGAAAAAAAAGGCAAGAGAGGATCCAGACCCTCTATGTTTTTTGGTTTTTCTTAGCATGAAACACTAGTCTCTTCCTAGCTTTTTCTTGCATGCTGCTGTTCTAAGTGCTCTCAGAAGTGCCTCATGGAAAGGCTCACTGGCCCTAACCAAACATGGCCCCTGGCAGCCATCCTTTGGTCTACGTGCCACAGGCCAGTAATGCACTGGTTTCCTCTACCCTGCTTCCCATCTTTTACACAAACTGGAGTTTGTTTTTCTACCCACCCTGGTCAACAAACTTCTCTTCATACTGTTCTTGTTTGGGATAATAAAGCATAATACCTGGCCAGCTGCAGAGGTACACACCTATAACCCCAGCTACTCAGGATTTGGAGACAAGAGAATCATGGTCTAAGGCCCACCTGAGCAAAAGCAAGAGACTCTAGCTAAGAAAGACCCACAAAGCAAAAGGACCAGGAGATAACTCAAGTAGTAGAGCACTGGCCTAGTAATCACAACGCCCTGAATCCGATCCTCAGTACCGCCGCCTGCCAAGAAAGCACAAATCCCTAAATAAGCCTTAACAAACAATGCTAGTTTCTCTCTTTTAGAACTGAAGTAGCAAAAGAAGATGCTAACAGTAGTTTTGTGCCTTGTTTCTTTTTGATAATACACTGCTAAGTTTCCACTACATCTGCCTTGTTAGGAAGCTGTTCGTCCAAGCCCATTCAAATGTATCTCCACCATCAGAGGATATGAAGTTTCTGAGCACATGCACAGGACAAATTACTGGGGTTTCTTCCCCCCAGCAGGTCCCTTGACTGAAGGGTGGACACAAAGGCTTCTAGGTTCTTGGCTTTTTTTTTTTTTTTTGTGGCACTGGTGTTTGAACTCAGGGCCTCACACTTGCTAGGCAGGTGCTCTTACCACTTGAGTCATTCCACCCTGCCCTTGCACACTCAATATGATCACAAAATGGTAGGCATGTGCCACATGACCAGCTCAGGAGCAACTTCTAATAGGCTTGAATCTGTACCATTTCCTCCAGGAGGGTGTGTGGGGGCTTGGCAGAAGCTGTACTTGGCCTGCACCCACACACTAAGTGATTTATTCCAACAACTGAGGTGCTAAAGGTTGATGCTGCAGGAGAAAAGTCACCATGGTGAGCTGGGGCCACCACCCACTATGTAGCACACATGATTCCTGAGGGAGGAGTTCAGAAGCGTAAGTGAACAGGTTCCAAAGAAGCTACTCTCACATTGGAATGCAAACAGTGGGAGGATTTCACCTTACTTCTTTTATGATGACTGTTAGGAGGTAGCCAATTCATAAATCTGAAAATAGATACTTTCAACTTGAACTTTACTGAGTTGGGAGTTTCCTTCATGTCATCTCATTTCCCCTTGTTTTTGAGATACGAAAGTAGACGCTTTCAGTCCCTCCTTCCCTAAGGCTGGAAGGAGCATGGCTGTCCTAGAAGGGAAAGGAGGACCATGGCCAGAGCATGGAATGGATAGAGAGTGAAGATGAAAATGGCAGCCTCTGCACACAGGGTCTGTATACAATGCACGGGGCTCACTGTGCACTTCCTGAGAACAGGAGATAATTAAAAAGCTTTTATAGCAGGGAACAACATGACCAAGTGGTTTTAAAAGGCGACTCCACAACAGCTACAGGAAAAAAGCAACTGGAAGACACCAAAAGAAGTTATCATAGTTAGCAGGATGGAAAGAAGTGGGCAGGCTGGAGAAGTGTGCAGTGGACAAAACCAGCAGCACTTGATTGCTGGCTGGAGCTGGAGCTGAGGGAGAGGTGAATATGCACAGACCTCAGGGTGGAGGGGTTTGTGCAGTCCCTTGCATGAAAATGATATTGGATGAGGATCAGCTCTGAGGAAGAAGATGAAAGATTCTGTTTAAGACACACTGAATCTGAAGTGACATCACCAAGAAAACAAGAGGGACATACGTGGAGTTCTGAACGAGGCTAAACCGTAGCTGTTCTAGATTAGGGGCCACTAGTAATGATCTTATTGTGGTGCAAGTGTGCAGCAATATCACAGGAAGAGACACTTTGTCTCATCTCTCAGCATGAGCACAGCCATTCTGCATGTGTGCCTCTACTTCTTAGACCTTAGTGCAGAATAAAAAGTCACCAGCATCACGAAGCTGGCTGATAAGATTTCCTAGAGAATGGCACACAGAGGAACCCAGGCTAGCGGTAGAGAACAAGCTGAAAGGAGCTTGCGAAGACTGAGTGGCAAGGAGAACCAGGGGCAGGCACCAGAGGGCGCTGAGGCCAGGGTAAGGTGCCGTGGTTCCCTGGGGCAGGCAACCACATGTACCTGGCCAGTGCAGCCAGCCACAGACACAGTGGAGAGAATAGGGAGGACAGCCAAGGGTGGGAGAGGACTCAGCCTTCTGGACAGGAAGGAGGCAGAAGGACAGGGCAGTATCTGAAGGAAGAAAAGGAAATGAGGACAGATTGAATTTTTCCCCTTAAGACAGAAGACATCATACTGTTTCCAACTAAAGAGGTGAAGAAACCAAGAGGATTATCAGCTTTAATAAGGCTTCAGAGAAGGAGGGGGCGGGGGGGGGGGGAAGCAGAGCCACACAGAGGTCAAGGTGTTCTTGAGACTACTATAGCACTTTAGTCAAATATAGAGATTCTAAGTATAAATGTCCTAAAAATACAAAGTTGGGCGTGATACCCCACTTTGTATTCCCAGCTGAGGCAGGCCAATCTGGGCTACAATAGCAAGAACTTGTCTCACAAAAACAATATACAAGGCTGGGTGTGGTGACTCATACCTATATTCACTGCTGTTAAGGAGATGGAAAGATCAGGTGGATCATGGTTCAAGACCATCCCTGCAAAGAGTTAGCAAGATCCCATCTCTAGTGTGGTGGTTCACCTCTGTAATCCCAACTACACAGAAGGCCCTAGCAAAAATAGAGAACCTATCTGGAAAAATAATTAAAGCCAGAAAGGAATAGGGATATGGGCTCAAGTGACAGAGGGCCTGCCTAGATAGCACCAGGCCTTGAGTTCAAACCCCACTACCACCAACCCCCCTCCCTGCAAAAAAACAAAACTAACAGAAACAACAACAAAAAAGAAAAATACTATTTTTGAGACCCAACATGGACACTGAAGAGGAGCCCACTTTTCTGGCATACAGTAGTAAGAATTTAAGACAGACGCAGATGTAAATGGTTGCAAACAGGGGAATTCCAGAGTCAGGCCTCTGCAAGAAAAACAGGAAGTGTGCTAAGGGAGCTCTTACTCTGCTGTGCAGACTGCTGCTTCCTGGAAACTTCGCTGGGACCCATACAGACAGCCAGCAATCCAATAGTTCTTGCCATGTTTAAAGTACTTTTTATTCTGTGCTAGGGTCAAGCACTAGAGGCAAACAGACATGAATGGCTGTACTAGTGTGGAGAGGAGGCAGCAAAATGTCTCTTCCGTGACATTTCTGCGTAACTATATTGCAGCAAGATCAATAGTAATGACCCCCTAATCTAAAGCAGATAGATCCAGGAGAGGAAATAAAAGGTTACACTCAAAAAGTTGCTACAGCATGAAACTTATTTGCATCCTGATCTGAACCAACTACAAAAACATATTTTGAAGCACCAGGCCCCGAGTTCAAAACACTAAAAAAAAAAATCAGATAATGAGGAAACTGGACAAATGACTGGTAAGGAATTATTTCAAATTTGCTTTGGTATGTGGTAATAACGTTTG